AAAAAAGGTATGTTGTCGAAACCTCTCATGGCTTCAACACTCACATCACACACCAGGACGCTGCCATTCTTCTCAGTCTATTGCTGCGTTGTTCAGTGTCCCATACTACTCACAAAGCCCATTCATTCAAAAAGAAGGTAAGTAGCTTGCAGAGTCCCTCTACAACTCACAAAACACCCCCCCCCTCTTGCCAGGTCTCATCCAAAAAACAGGTATGTCATCCCAGTGCGCAGTGTCTCTCTACCACTCACAGAACACCCTCTCGCCTTGTCTCATCCACAAAACAGGTATGTCGTCCTACTTCCCAGCATCCCTCTACCACTCACAAAACACCCCCTTGCCATGCTTATCCAAAAAAAAGGTATGTCGTCCCAACTTCGCGGCATCCCTCTACAACTCACAGAACACCCCCTCACTGTGCCTTATCAAAAAAACAAAAGGTAAGTTGTCCCAGGTCGCAGCGTCCCTCTACCACTCACAGAACACCCCCTTGCTGTGCTCATCCAAAAAAAAGGTATGTCGTCCCAGCTCGTGCAGCATCCCTCTACAACTCACAAAACACCCACAGACCACCCCCTCACCATGCTCATCCAAAAAAAAGGTGTGTTGTCCCAGCTTCACAGCATCCCTCTACAACTCACAGAACACCCCCTCGCCATGCTCATCCAAAAAAAAGGTATGTCGTCCCAGCTTTGCGGTGTCCCTCTACCACTCACAGAACACCCCCTTGCCGTGCTCATCCAAAAAAAAAGGTGTGTTGTCCCAGCTTCACAGCATCCCTCTACAACTCACAGAACACCCCCTCGCCATGCTCATCCAAAAAAAAAGGTATGTCGTCCCAGCTTTGCAGCATCCCTCTACCACTCACAGAACACCCCCTAGCCATTGTCACACACCAAAGGTGTTTGGTGAGGTGGACATGGATGTAGCTGATGAATGGAGGTGAAGACCATAGCCCTCATGCGAAGAAGGACAGCCAGCAATGTTGGCAGTCATCCCTCACACAAGAACAGGTTGTCAGTGCCAAAGAAAAAGGAGGAGGCAAGTTAAGCACCAATAAAATTCTTAAGCGCCCGTGTACAGCATTCCGGTTTTCGACATATCTCCACCAGTTCTGCAGACACCGAAACCATTCCCACACTCGCTTGTAGTGCTCAGCCACGCGATCCTACCTTCCAAGATTGGAAAGGATTTGTGCACTCCACACATTTCTACAGCACTCCCTCCAAAAGACGCTCATTTCGCTAATTCTTCTGATATGGCTGCCTCCACATCAGTCATTTCGCTTGTCCCCTTTGCTAGGGACCATGGCTACATATATCTACCAGGAGTTCCTACCAGCTTCCATCCTGAAGCGTCCTGGTACATCCCACCCTCATCTGCCCCCTCTCAGCCCATCCAGCTTGGACAGCGTGTTCTTTTTGTCAGTATGACCTCCAGGAGGACGTTCTTTGGTCGCCTCAGGTCTGTCATTCGCTTGGAAAGGTCTTATGTGGTCATTTCAGTCTCTCCAGTCCAAGAAGCATATGGATCCTTCCTCCCTGCCCCCTGCAACGTCTTCATACCAGTCTTGTCCGTCATTCTTCCAAAATTGCGACAGCTACAGTATAATCTACTGTTCTCCACTCTCCCTGATCGCATCCATGACGAGTATGATGCACATCTTGCCTCCTTGTTGCAAGATACAGCGGAAGACGCTCCCCCTTCATCCTCTCTTCCAACAGAGCCTCATTCATGAAGTTTTTATTTGCTTCACTGAGGGGATGGTTTGGGGGGGAAGGTTGCAATCCCCTATGCTCCTGTCACCCCACAGACCCCCAAAGCTTGACCCCTGTTGACATCTGACTCACCCTGTCCACTTTTGGATGTACTATATCAGCATCAGATCAGCACTGCCTCTCTGTCATCCCACTTTGGCCTAGAAGCGATCTCTTCAAGATGTGACATGCACAGCCTCCCCCTAATGTGATTCCAGTGCACTTTCCCAGTTCCTGACATTACTTGACTCATACTGTGACATTCTGACTGTCTTTGACTCACCTATTGCCAATACTCACCAATCTTTTGACTTTGCTTACTGATTCTTCGCTTTTTGGCTTACTTATCCTTACCAATGCTTACCAATGCTTTCCAAGATGATTACCCATCACTTACATTCCTTACTCATCAGTTACCAATCGCTTACCAAGTGTTTGCACCTTGTTTTCCATAGGCAATGCCCCTGTACTGTATATAAGTCACTGTACTTAGGTAGCAAAAAAGAAGACATCAGAGAGAGCCCCTCTTGCTCACAATATATCATCTCTCAGTAAATCATTCATCAGCTTCGATAGTTGAGACTTTATTAAGGGTCTAGCTATCATCTACTTCACTTATCATCATCTATCATCCATATACTTCGCTCCAAGCCCTCCCTGAGCTCGGTACAGCTTAGGACATCGAATTAAGTCACCATCCATCCTTCTGTAGGCTGACAGCAGTCTACCCTATCGCTTTCTATCACCTTCTTGCTCCCTCTTCGTCAGGAGCACCCCCGACCCTCAGCACTCATCTTTGAGTGTTGTAGCTCACAAAAAAACCCTCCCAAAGAACAGGTTCTACCATCTAGGTACCGCATAGGCACACCACCACTCGCTTTCATTGTCTTTTGTGTTGGTTTTGGTTGGTTTTCACCACTGAACCACACTTTGACTCACACCGTGCTCATCCAAAAAAAAAAGGTATGTCGTCCCAGCTTCGTGGCATCCCTCTACAACTCACAGAACACCCCCTCACCATGCCTCATCCAAAAAAAAGGTACGTCGTTCCAGCTCGCACAGCGTCCCTCTACAACTCACAAAACACCCACAGAACACCCCCTCGCTGTGCTCATCCAAAAAAAAAGGTGTGTTGTCCCAGCTTTGTGGTGTCCCTCTACAACTCACAGAACACCCCCTCGCTGTGCCTTATCAAAAAAAAAAAAAGGTATGTTGTCCCAGGTCGTGGCATCCCTCTACCACTCACAGAACACCCCCTTGCTGTGTCTCATCCTACAAAAGGTATGTTGTCCCAGTTCCTGGTGTCCCTGTACCACTCACAAAACACACTAGTAGGCTATCAATTCATATCTCCCTCCTGCCACACTGCATCTCCCTTGCTGTGTCTCATCCAATAAGGTATGTTGTTGGACTTCTACTTCATGGTGTCCAGATGATACTTACATATCACCCTCTTTGGTCTGCTTATCCAGTGCCCAGTGTTGTGTAGTTGCATACATTGGCTTCTCTTTTCCATAAATATGTAGATATCTATCCCTGCTGCATTATATATGTACTAAACTAAATGCATTTATTGTTATCTTACTGCTTGTCCCCTACACCTTCTGTGTCTTGTAAAGATAATAAGGTATGCTACTGTTCCCTTCTGTGTCATATGTTGCTGCCACTCACTAATGTTGGCATAATAGACTCAGATGGTGAAGACCAAGCAGACAGCTAAGAAGACCACTGGGGGTAGAGCTCCCGGGGTATCTCTTGCTGGTCTGAAAGCTAGGGAAAAACATGCTGCCAAGTCAAGCAAGGCCCATGCTAGGAAGGCCCCTGTTGCCAAGAAGAGAAGGATGAGGAACTTGGCAAGTCTCTTTTTATATTCCATCCATCTTTCTAACATTCTATGCAGTTCTGTGTGATGTGCAGGGATGGAGGGACATTGTGGCCTTGTGATCAGGCAGGTTGCAGAAGGGTAGTGTGTAACAAGTGTGTTGTAGTACCTGAGGATTGCCTTGCAGAGGTCACCCAGCTTCCTGTGACCTTCAGGTGTGTTAACCTCCCTTTTATGAATTAATTCCATTGACTCAAACTCTGGATGAACTTCAGGTGTGTTTCCTGTCATTGGAAAATGACAAGATTTGAAAGTCCTCAGCCCTATTTTGTAAGTGCATATTGCCACCCCAATCACTTCTAACTCCAAGTACAGGGCTTCTACGTGTCAGGCAAGCCAGTCCTGAAACACCCTCTTGTGGTCATTGGGGGGTTTGAGCATGCCACCACCTCTGAAGTGGCTGGTAACTCTACTGCCATTATCCACCTCCACCTTGAGTCTCTAGAGCTTGGCCATGCCCCTGTGCATATCCTTCACACCATGTTGCAGGGATATTTCAGACAAGACACCTACCACTTCTCACAACTGCCCTTCAACTTTGCCACTGAGGAGTCCAGAGCTGCCTATGACACTGCAGCATCAAAGCTAGCTTCAAGTCTGACTACCTTTGCTAAGGTAGTCATTTTCCTTACTACCCATACTGATGAAGACAGGGGGGATCTGTTCTCTGGAATGGAGAATAAGGTTCCAATAGCCACAGAGGTCTTTGAGGTAAGTCACCATTGTTTGACTGTCACTCCCATCTGACCAGTTGCAGTTTCTGCAAGGCCTTCTGTTACCCCTCTCCAACATTGTCAAGGGTGGAGACCTCATCTTCTTTGTATGTGGTTCTACTGTAAGGAAGGAGCAGAGCTTCCAAGGACTGAAGGCAGCTGTGCAACAGTAGGTTTTCTTTCAATGTTGGTGGTTATGGCTGACACCATATCAGCTTCAAGCCAAGGTCCATGTTGCTTTTTGATGCTGAGAGACTTCAACTAGTCACCACCATTCCCTTCCTCATGAGTGTCCTTGACTCCACCCTTGTTCAAGGCTTCCATGTCCAAAGTGCAGTCAGGTATGCCCTGAATGACTGTGGTATGTTGGGTAGGCACTCCAACATCATCCTGATGTTGTGGCAGGAGAAGGTAGTGGTGGAGAAATTTGTCTGGACTGACAAGTTCATCAGGCCTTGGGGACAACAATTGCCTGCCCAGTGCCCTCAGTGTTATAGCATTCAGAAGTGGGAAGCTGGTTGTTCAGGGCAGACTTATTCCTATGAGTGCAAGAATCCTGGCTGTGGGAAGGACACACAAGGCACATCTCAGCCTCCCCAAACCTATACTATCTGCATGTCCAAAGGGCTACCAAACTGACACAGGGAAAGGGGCAAACATCATCCTGGCTGTTGGAATCTTTGTAAAATACCCTACCTTGATACATATGATATGCATGTACTACAATCAAAAATAGCTGCTTTGTGTTTTCAAATTTCATATGACATTGAATGTTCAGAAAAACAAGTAATTTCCTGCAGGACAATTCCTCCTTAAGTACTGATACACAACTGAGTAAATTTGCCCAATGTTAATTCCAATACAATGGCCAGATTGGTAGAGTTAACTTCAATACCACAGGATAAGGATAGGATATAGGATTTTTCCACAACCATGTGGGTTCAGCCAGCTAACTACCAAGGAAGTAGTGTACTGAGTAATAAGATTGGCCAGCCCCACTAACCCACTAGCAAGATATTGGTCTTTCTTGCAAAGTGTCTGCCCAACCACAACTCCAGGTCATGGTTCATTCCCCCCAGCCACATCAGCTGACCCCACTGCCAGGACATCATCCCTTCCCCCAGCCATGTCAGCTGGCCCCACTTCCAGGTCACTAATCTATCCCATAGCTGGTTTGGCCAACCCCACTTCCAGGTCACTAACCTATCCCATAGCTGTGTCAGCTGACACCACTTCCAGGTCACTAATTCATCCCATAGCTGTGTTGGCCAACCCCACTTCCAGGTCACTAATCTATCCCATAGCTGTGTTGGCTGACCCCACTTCCAGGACACTAACCTATCCCATAGCTGCATCGGCTGACCCCACTTCTAGGACACTAATCTATCTCATAGCTGTGTTGGCCGACCCCACTTCTAGGGCACTAATTCATCCCATAGCTGTGTTGGCCGACCCCACTTCCAGGACACTAACCTATCCCATAGCTGCATTGGCTGACCCCACTTCTAGGACACTAATCTATCTCATAGCTGTGTCAGCTGACCCCACTTCTAGGACACTAATTCATTCCATAGCTGTGTCAGCCAACCCCACTTCCAGGACACTAATTCATCCCATAGCTGCATCAGCCAACCTCACTTCCAGGTCATCAATCCATCCTATAGTCATGTCAGCCAACCCCACTTCCAGGGAAGTTGATCCATCATCCTGTGACATAGGCTGACCCCACCTTCACAGTCCAGCCTACCCAACCCTAGGGACCACCGGCTGATGTCAGTTAGTCCCAGTTTCAGGACGAAATGTACATGTCGGATGACCCACTTTTAGGACTACAAGTGACTGAATCATGTGCCAATGGTGTGTACACATTAGCACCTTGTGCCCCTCCTGATGGGGTGATCTGTGTCATCTTGGCATAAAATGGCCATCCCACATTTTTATAGGGCAGGATATGTTGTCCACTCCAACATATTCATGTTAGATGAACTGATATGCTCGATGACAGGGGACAATGTACATTGGTTGCAACATAGCTATTCCGTACATTCTCTTCAGCTGGTGTGATGATATTGGCACCAAAATGTTCATCCCATGAGCCAGACCCAGAGCGTTGAATGAAGCCTTCAATGGAATTATAGATCCCTTTCAACTAATAACAATATCAGTCAAGGCTATCAGCATGAGGAGGATGTGCTTACCCATCACCATTTATTTTGAATCTGCTGAGCAGTTCTTGTGGGGGGTGAGTTGGGTGGAGTGATCGCAGCAGCAGCACTAGAAAATACACTGGATTTGAAGTTGCCTGTATCACCTTGTTCTAACCAGTGTTCAATGAGGTAGTCAAGGAGAGCTGTGAGTCTCTGAATCAGTCCACTTGTGACTACTCATCATTTCTGGCTCCTGATCTGATTCTAAAAGAACAAGGAGTCCAGCAACATGTACAATGCAAAGTGTAGCAGAAGCGATACGAGCGATAATGGGTTTGAGGTCATCATATCGATGAGCGATCATCATTGTATAGTTGGAAGGAAGGTTGAAACTCCGCCTTGTAGTTCATGGAGCATCCCAGGCATGTTAACCAACACATGTGTTGGCAATGGGTTGTACACCGGTTTCCGAACTGGCTCTAACGTTGTTATGAGCGTCCTAGTACCAAATTCCGAAGTTCAACTTTTACCCAGGCATGCCCATTCAGCACCGCCCTCTACCAGTCTCCATGAGTACTTCCGGAATCCGACTTCCCTCGCAATTGAGTCGCACCTCCTCTCGAAGGGTGTAGTTGTCCGCAGTGGCGGTATACAGGTACAGCGTCGCTCACTCCCACAGCACAACCCACGAAATCCTCTGCATCGCATCTGGATGTGCGAAGCTTCGGCGAGGAGGAGCCGGGGGGGGGGGGCTGGAACCATTGTCAGACAGGGGACATTGTTATTCTTCCGGCGGCTGGTGTCACGCATAGATTACTGGAGAATGTCGAGAGCAGTTTCTTGACGGTGGAGAGCTATCCAGCGGGCAAGGACCGGGACATATGTTGCGGAAAGGCCGACGAACAAGAGAAAATCCACAAAATCAAGCCATCTGTAATGGTTTAACAAAGGCCCTATCTACGGCAACGAAGGGCCTGTCCTGCATATTCGAATCGAACGCATCGATTGGTGTTCAGATCCACGTTGGGTCCACTGCAGTCAGGAGAGTGGAAGTGAGTTGGGATGACGAGTCATTCACAAGATCTGAGCAGCTGGCACCGGGATGCAAGTAATGCATACATCGTAACAGATCTGGCGAAACACCGATCAGACTCGATCAAAGTGAATTTTACCAGACTGATGGCAGGAGCAATACTTCCACTCCAGAGATGAGATCCGTTTGATAAAGGTTGGAGGTCGGGTTGGTAAATGAATCGTATGCACTTCAACAGTCGCAGTCACATGTCTTGTGAAATTCAATTGGCTAGCGCAAAACTTCCGAAGGTCGTTCGATCACGCCATGTCCTGCTAACATGGTTGCTTGTGAATGCATCATCGTGGGGCAGAGGAAAGCAAGCGCTTTCGTGAGAGCAGTGTGAATAAGAGAGAAAGGCATGAACGGCATATACACGCACCAATATCAAGGAATCGCGACGCATTGAATGATCCTCCGGTGATCATACCAAAGCACGTGCAAGACTCGTAGTGTTCGCTCATTCCGTATACTCCCTGGGCGGGTCGCACCAGGCAAGTAGACATGACCCCAAGAAGCTGCTGTGATGTATGTGGTGAAGCTGGTGCATGAGGAATGCACCACTAGGGTTCATTTTGTCCGTGTGCAAGAGATGAGTATAAGTCGAGCATCGTCATAAAAAGCTTCCTTGTGGGTACGAAGGTGAGTTCATACGTGGCAGCAGCAGGTCTGAATACGACCTAGGGGACGCTATAGAGTCAGCCACATGCCAGTGTCTTCAAATTTCACGATGACGTGTGATCTGCTTCTTGTCGACGGAGTTAGCAAGCCTAGGCAGTACTCGGGAAGTGCCGCCCGTACAGTGCTTGATCATTGCTCGCTGAGACTGAAAGTACGCAGTATGTGTGCGACATCGCACGGTAACTAGATGTGAATCTGTTCTGTTGGTTCCCCCGAGTTTTGCTTCGCGGGGGGCAAGGTGAGTGGTCCGTGTTCAGACGAGTCCGTTCTCACAAACCTTGTCAAGCAAGGTAAACCGCGTGTTCACTGATAAGATTAGTGCGTGGTCAGCTCTCCCTTACATGAAAATTGGGAACGGCAGCTTAGCAGCGCGGGTGCGGGCAAGCAATCCACACACCCAGTATCGCTGTTATGTCGGCCGAGACTAAAGCTACTATGTCTTCTGGCATTATCGTTACTCTTCCGGGCCACCGGTCATGATCGCACAGTCGGCGGTCGGCAACTTCCTCGAGTCAACCCATGCGAAGCAGAGAAACTGATCAAGAAGTCGCTGTGTGACGAGAGTGGAGCATCAATCTTCAGGTATGTAGAAACGTGCTGGCTACACAGGGTCAGGGTGGGCGTGGGCGGCAATCCTGTGCTTTTTGTTCGGTTCTTGCTGTCCTCTCTCACACTCAGTTCCAATTGTCGGGAAACTGGGTAAGCTGCTCTGCAGTTTTTTATCTGCCCAACTCCCTCAACCAGCAGACAGCCAGTCTTTTTCAACCTCCTTCTACTTTTCCATCCATCGGCGGTGAAGTCCCTCTCGGTTCATCGTTGCATGATATGCACTTGACCCCCATGTAGTTGCACCCACGCCCGACCGGCTCGCAGTATTCCCTATTCTGTACTTCGTACCTTCTCTGCTGTTGAATTATCCCCCCCGGTTGCTTTGTGGGTTCGACTGTTTCTGTCTGATTGCAGCTGATTACTGAACTCGCTCTGAAGGCGGAACCATTCCATCGTACATATCCTCACTCGATGGCTTCAACAGACGATGTTTCGCACAAGCGAGCAGAGTTGGAACGCTGTCCCCCTGGACCTAATGGCAGGGATGTTGCCCTCTTCAACCTCGCGATGGCTCTCTATAACAGATTCACGAAAGGGAGGAAAACCGATGACTTGGACGAAGCAATCGCTTTACTGCGTGATGTTTTAGAACTACGTCCCTCTGATCATCCTGATAGGGTTTCATTGCACCACTGGCTTTCTCTCTGTCTTTCGGATAGGTATACCAATCAGGGGGCAGTCGCCGACTTGGAAGAAGCTGTCACGTTTGGACGTGCAGCACTAGAGTTCCGTCCACCAGGGGACCGCCAACGTGGTGCATCCCTCTACCATCTCGCCTGTGACTTCAGAAGGAAGTTCCAGAAACAAGCCTTGACACATGACCTGGACCAGGCAATTGAACTACACCGTGCGGCCTTGGAACTTCGTCCCTCTGGTCATCCTGATCGGGCTGCTTCTCTTCATTCGCTTGCTCTCTGTCTTTCGGATAGGTATGGCAATCAGGGGGCAGTCGCTGACTTGGAAGAAGCTGTCAGGCTGGAACGTGCAGCACTACCGCTCCTTCCACCGGGGCATCGCCATCGTGGTGCATCTCTCCACCATCTCGCTTGTGACCTCAGGAGGAAGTTCCAGAAACAAGCTTTGACATGTGATCTTGACGAGGCAATTGAACTACACCGCGCAGTATTGGAACTGCGTCCCTCTGGTCATCCTAATCGGGATTCATCTCTTCATTCGCTTGCTCTCTGTCTTTCGGATAGATATGATGATCAGGGAGTAATTGCTGACTTGGAGGAAGCTGTCATGTTCGGACATGCAGCACTAGAGCTCCGTCCACCAGGGCATCGCCAACGTAGTGCATCTCTCTACCATCTCGCATGTGACCTCAAGAGGAAGTTCCAAAAACAAGCTCTGACGCATGACCTGGACGAGGCAATTGAGCTACATCGTGCAGTATTGGAAACTGCGTCCCTCTGGTCATCCTAACCGGGGTTCGTCTCTCCATTCACTTGCTCTCTGTCTTTCAGATAGGTATACCAATCAGGGGGTGGTCGCTGACTTGGAAGAAGCTGTCATGTTTGGACGCGCAGCACTAGAGCTCCATCCACCAGGACATCGCCATCGTGGTACTTCCCTCCACCATCTCGCCTGCGACCTCAGGAGGAAGTTCCAGAAACAAGCTCTGATGCAGGATCCTGGAGGAGGCAATTGAGCTATACCGTGCGGCGTTGGAACTACGTCCCTCTGGTCATCCTAATCGGGATTCAGTCTCTTCATTCGCTTGCTCTCTGTCTATCGGACAGGTATGACAATAAAGGGGAAGTCGCCGACTTGGAAGAAGCTGTCATACTCGGACGCGCAGCGTTAGAGCTCCATCCACCAATGCGTCTCAACCGCGTTTCATCCCTTCACGACCTTGCAGTGTGTCTAGCAAAGCGTTTTCGTGAGCAACACACAACAAGTGATTTAAACGAGGCTATTGCATATGAGCAAGAAGCCTTACAACTACTCATGCCGGGAGATCCGGGTTATGACATATCTCGGCGTTGTCTTACGGACTACCTCCAAATGAAGATCCACCCACAAGTTGTCATCACGTCCGGGCCCTCAGGTGTTACCCACTTTGACATTAAATCAGTCATCCGTGGTGTTGCATTTGAATCCCTCAAAACCATGCCGACCAGGCTGCTGCACACACATACCGGCATACTGTGCAACCGGGATGCGCAGATATCACATTTTATGAACAGTCGACAATACAATCAGCTACTGTCTTCATGTAGGGCATGCACCCCGGATCAGCGAATGGAGCACATCCATACTTCCGTCTCTGGACACTTTCGTTTCGTCACCTTTTCTCATCGCTGGGGTGAAGGCGAGCCATTGTTGCGCGACATCGACGGTCGCTCGATATATGAGATGTCATCCAAGGGAGGGCTCGGAAAGCTCCAAGCCCTTTGTCGTCGTGCTTGTGAGCAGGAATACTTTTGGGCGTGGAGCGACACGTGTTGCATAGACAAAGATAGCAGTGCGGAGCTGCAAGAAGCGATAGGATCGATGTTCGCATGGTATCGACAGTCCGCCCTGACGGTCGTTCACCTCTCTGATGTTTCCGATACCGGCTCGTTTGGGAACAGCGAATGGTTTACACGTGGGTGGACCCTCCAAGAACTACTGGCCCCTGCAACCGTACTATTCTACACCCAAGACTGGTCGCTCTATAAGAACCTCACGCGTGCAAACCATAAGAACGATGTCGCTGTGCTGGAAGAACTGCAAAAGGCGACTGGAATAGAGTCCCGTTTCCTCACCAGCTTTTCTCCGGGTATGGATGATGCCCGTTCGAGACTCCAATGGGCGTCGAAGCGTTGTACTACCCGGCCTGAGGATATCGCCTATTCACTTTTCGGGATCTTCAATCTCCACATGCCCATTTTATATGGGGAATCTCCTGAGAACGCACTTGGCCGTCTCCTAGCGGAAATCATATCGCATTCTGGGGACATCTCTATTCTAGATTGGGTCGGAGAGGCGTCACCATTTCATTCCTGCTTCCCTGCCCACATTACTTCGTACCAGACACTGCCATTGTCTCCATCTCAGTGTGGCCCAGAAGAACAGTCATTGACAACGCATCAGCAGCCCTCGTCGTCCACAGTACTGCGGAATTTGCATCGCTCGCTCGCTAATTCCCCCCTCCCACGATTCATCAATCGTCGCCTTGTACTGACGTGCATCACTCACCGTGTTACGGCGGTTCAGCTGCAAGGAGATCCTTTGACACTGAGTTATACCTACAAGATCCAAGCGTCCGGTCTGAGGCCAGTTGAGATCATCCTGCCTGACAAGCTAGAAGATGCTGCAATGGAGCCAAGTGCTCTGCAACTTGTACGCCCTTGGCACTCAAAATTGCTTGGCCCGTCGGGCAAGCTAGATGCCATAGCTGAAGAGAAGTTACTTCTTACATTAAAGGGGCCATTTAACGCTCTTCTGTTGATTCGACTGCCTCACAACGAGCACAAAAGGATCGCGTCTTCTATCCTCGTTACCGCTCACGTCGTAGACCCTCCCAATAATTTGCAAAGCAAAATCAAAACATTAACTATTGTGTAGACAGATAACCATGGCTTTTATGATACCAAGACCTTGATTCGTGTCCTCTCGAATTTATGGTCCACTGCAGTCCGTCCACAGGATCTGGGCAGGTGCCACCGGGATGCAAGTAATAACAGATCTAACGAACTACCGATCAGACTGAGTCATGGTGCGATTACTGATGGCAGGGAGCGGTATCTCCACTGGAGAGATGTGGCTCGTTTGGTATAGCTTGGAAGTTGGGTTAGTAAATGGAGTGTATGCATGCACGAGTGGACGTGCCTTCGAGTTGCTATGCATATGGTAACGCTGGAGGATGACGAACTTTGTACCACCGGAGCAGTTTCAAGGTTCACTTCAGTCCGAATTTGGGAAACAATGAGTTTGGCATCGCCATGGAAAGCTTGTGCGAGATCCAAAAGCCCTAGAAAGGTTCCTGCCAGCGGCAAAGTCAGCGAAGACTGTTAAGGTATTCCTTGCCTAATACAAGGAGTGAGCACACACATACAATAGGTTTCCTTGGGAACTGCAGCGGGACCGCACGGGGCTCGGACCAGCAATGGACATGCGGGATATCGGTCGGGGGTGGTAAATCTGTGTCAGTTGGTTACGGGTGATGGGTGATTGGTAATTGTCTTCTCGCATGCATCGTCATGCACCGCTGGCGGCCCTGATTCACTGATTAGACAGTACAACAGCAGAGAAACGAACAAGAAACTACTATTCGGGAGTGTGGAGGTCGGGCCGACCGGTCGTCCGACTCGGACTTCCGCGGTGCACAGCACATGCGCGTGCTTTGAGCCCCTGCCTCACACCATCAACTACAGCACCGACTGTTGGACTACTATCGGATACTCTCCGTTTCTTCAACCTACGCCAAATTCTGTCAATCAACGTGCACTTTCACATCCATCGGTGAACTCACTCTCGACCCACCGCTGCGTTACATGTGTTGACTTCCGTGTAGCTGTGTCCACGCTTTGTTCTGGCCAACGCTGTACTGTGTATTCTATACTTCCTGCCTTGTCCTGCGTGTGTTTTCCCGCTGTTTAATTGGCTTCGCTGAATGCCTACTTGTTCAACGATAACGTATGGTTCTATCTGCACCTGTCTTACTGCATCTAATCACCGAAGGCAGGACCATTTCCGCGGTGTGCATCCTCTTCATTCAATGGCTTTAGAAGATGATGTTTCCAACAAGCGAGCGAAGTTAGAACGCTGTCCTGGGCCTGATGGCAGGGATGTCGCTCTCTTCAACCTCGCAGTGGCTCTCTACAAGAGATTCGTGAAAGGGGGGGAAATCGACGACTTGGACGAGGCGATTGCTTTGCTCCATGATGTCTTAGAATTGCGTCCTCCTGGACATGCTGATCGGGCTTCATCACTTCACTGGCTTGCTCTCTGTCTTGTGATTAGGTATGATAATCGGGAGGTAGTCAGCGACCTGGAAGAAGCTGTCATGCTTGGTCGTGAAGCACTAGAACTTCATCCACCAGGGCATCAAAATCGTGGGCTGTCTCTGTACAATCTTGCTTGTGGCCTTGGGAGGAGGTTCCTCAAACATGAGCAGTCGCGTGATCTGGAGGAGGCGATTGAGCTGCACCGCGCATCACTGGAGCTACGTCCCTCTGGTCATCCCGATCGGTCTTCATCACTCTATTCTCTTGCACTCTGTCTTTCGAATAGGTATGACAATGGGGGGGAGGTCGCCGACTTGGAAGAAGCTGTCAGGTTGGGACGTGCAGCACTAAAGCTCCGTCCGCCAGGGCATCCTATGCGCGGTGCATCTCTTTATAATCTTGCTGACTTCCTTTGGAAGAGATTCCAGCAGCATGCCCTGATGCATGACCTAGACGAGGCGATCGAACTGCACCGTGCAGCATTGGAACTACGTGCCTCTGGACATCCTGAACGGTTTTCGTCGCTCCACTCGCTCGCTCTATGTCTTTCGAGTAGGTATGACAATCGGGGGGTAGTCGCTGACTTGGAAGGAGCTGTCGTGCTCGGACGTGTAGCACTAGAGCTCCGTCCACCAGGCCATCCAGATCGTGATGTGTCGCTTTACAACCTCGCTCAGGATCTTAGAGGGAGGTCCCAGGAACACTCAGCAAAGCACGATCTGGAAGAGGCAATTGAACTGCACCGTGCAGCGCTGGAACTACGTCCCTCTGGTCACCCTGAACGGTCTTCATCGCTTCATTCGCTTGCTCTCTGTCTTTCGGATAGGTATGACGATCAGGGGGTATTCACCGACTTGAAGGAAGCTGTCACACTCGGTCGTGCAGCACTGGAGCTTAATCCGCCAGGGTATCCAGATCGCGGCGTGTGTCTCTTCAATCTCGCTTGCAACCTCAGAAGGATGTTCCAGACACACTCCGTAATGCGCGACCTGGAGGAGGCGATTGAACTGCACCGTGCAGCGTTGGAACTATGCCCCTCTGAAGATCCTGATCGGTCCTCGTCGCTCCATGAACTTGCTTTCTGTCTTTCGGACAAGTATGATCATCAGGGGGTGGCTACTGACTTGGAAGAAGCTGTTACGCTTGGGCGGCACAGCCCTAGAGCTCCGCCCGTCAGGGCGTCCCCATCGTGATGCATCTCTCTACAACCTTGCTTGTGACCTCTGGAGGAGGTTCCAGAAACACTTTTTGGCGCATGACCTGGACGAGGCGATCACGCTGCACCGTGCAGCGTTGGAACTACGTCCCTTTGGACATCCTGATCGGGCGTCATCACTCCACATGCTTGCTCTCTGTCTTTCGAACAGGCATAATAATCAGGGGTCAGTCGCTGACTTGGAAGAAGCTGTCACGCTCGGACGCGCGGCGCTCGACCTCCGTCCGTCAGGTCATCCCCATCGTGGCATATCTCTCTACAATCTCGCTTGTGACCTCAGGAGGAAGTTTCAGAAACATGCTCTATCGCATGATCTGGACGAGGCGATCGAGTTACACCGTGCAGCGCTGGAACTACGTCCCTCTGGTCACCCCGAACGGTCTTCGTCGCTTCATTCGCTTGCTCTCTGTCTTTCGGATAGGTGTAGCGATCAGGCGGTAGTCACCGACTTGGAAGAAGCTATCACACTCGGGCGCGCAGCGCTAGAGCTCCGTCCACCAGGGCATGCAAATCGTGGTGCATCCCTCTACAACCTCGCCGACTACCTCCGCAAGAGATTCCAGAAACATGCACTGACGTGTGACCTGGAGGAGGCAATCGAGCTGCACCGTGTGACGTTGAAACTACGTCCCCCTGAACATCCTGATCGGTCTTCATCCCTCCATTCACTTGCTCTCTGTCTCTCGGATATGTATGACACTCAGGGGGCAGTCGCTCACCTGGAAGAAGCTGTCACACTCGGGCGTGCAGCACTAGACCTCCGTCCAAAAGGGCATCCAAATCGTGGAATATCTCTTTACAACCTTGGGGACTACTTCCGGAAGAGGTTCCAACGACACGCTCTGACGCATGATCTGGAGGAAGCGATTAAGATGCACCGTGCAGCGTTTGAACTGCGTCCTCCTGGTCATGCTGATCGGTCTTCATCCCTCCATTCGCTTGCTCTGTGTCTTTCGGAGAGATATGACATCCAGGGAGTAGTCGCTGACTTGGATGAAGCAGTTAGGCTCGGCCGTGAAGCACTAGAGCTCCGCCCACAAGGGCATCCCGAACGTGGCGTATCTCTCTACAACCTCGGTGACTACCTCTGGAAGAGGTTCCAGAAACACGCCGCAATGTGCGACTTGAAGGATGCAATTGAATTTCACCGTGCAGCATTGCAATTATGCCCCTCTGGACATCCTGATCGGGCTTCATCACTCCACTCGCTTGCTGTCTGTCTCTTGAATAGGTATGACAAGCAGGGGATAGTCGCCGACTTGGACGAGGCTATCACATTTGGGCGCGCCGCATTGGAGCTCCATCCAGCGGGGCATCCCAGCCGCGCGTCGTTCCTTCACAATCTTGCACTGTATCTAGCAAAGCGTTTCCATCAGAAACCGACAACAGCTGATTTAAGCGAGGCTATTACGCTTGAGCAAGAAGTTCTACGGTTACTCGTACCTGGAGACGCTGATTATGAGGTGTCTCGACGCTGCCTCACGGCCTACCTCCAAATGAGGATCAGCCCACAAGTTGCCACCGTTGCCACCATGTCATCCAATGCTTCGGGAGTTGCCCACTTTGACATCAAACAAGTCATTCGTGACGTCGTATTCGAAACCCTCAAAACTGTGCCGACAAGGCTGTTGCACACACATACCGGCATGCTGTGCAACCGGGATGCACAGTTCTCACACTTTATGAACAGTCCACAATATAATCAACTGCTGTCTTTGTGCACATCATGCGCCCCAGACCAGCGAATGGAGGACATTAATACTACTGTCTCCGGATACTTCCAGTTCGTCACGTTTTCTCATCGCTGGGGTAAAGCCGAACCATTGTTGCGAGATGTCGAGGGCAAGTCGATATATAGTATGTCAACCGATGGAGGGCTTGGAAAGCTCCAAGCCTTCTGTGTTGCTGCTTGCGAGCGGGATTTCCTATGGGCGTGGAGCGACACGTGTTGCATAGACAAAGATAGCAGCGCGGAGTTGCAAGAAGCGATAGGATCGATGTTTGCGTGGTATCGACGGTCCGCCCTGACCATCGTTTACCTTGCTGACACTCCCAATACTGGCTCGTTTGGAAGCAGTGAATGGTTTGGACGTGGGTGGACCCTCCAAGAACTACTGGCACCTCCAATCCTACTATTCTTCACTCAAAACTGGTCGCTTTATAAGAACCTCACGTCTTCAAACCATAAAACCGATGTCACTGTGCTGGAAGAACTGGAGAAGGTGACCGGAATAGAGTCCCGTTTTCTCGCCAACTTTTCCCCGGGTGTGGATGACGCCCGTTCGAGACTCCAATGGGCATCGAAGCGTTCTACCACTCGACCTGAGGATATCGCCTATTCACTTTTCGGGATCTTTAACCTGCACCTACCCATTTTGTATGGGGAATCTGCTGAAAACGCACTTGGCCGGCTTCTAGCGGAAATTACATCGCAGTCTGGGGACATCTCTATCTTAGATTGGATCGGAGAGGCGTCATCATTTCATTCCTGTTTCCCTGCCCACATCACTTCGTACCAGACGCCACCATCGTCTCCACCCCTACACGCAGAAGAGTCATCGCCGATGAGTCAGCTGCCCGCGACGTCCAGAGCATTGCGAAGGTTGCATCGCTTACTCGCTGATTCCGCCCTCCCACAATTCATCAATCGACGCCTTATACTGCCATGCATCGTTCATCCGTGTTATAGCGGTTCAGCCGCAAGGGGGGGATTCGTCGGCACTAAGTCATACGTACAAGATCCAGGCATCTGGTCTGAGGCCACTCGAAATCACACTGCCAGACAAACTAGAGGATGCAGCGATGGAGCAAGGCGCTCTGCAGGTTGTTCGTCCTTGGCACTCAAAATTGCTTGACCTGCCAGGCAAGCTAGATGCAATGGCTGAGGAGCAGCTGATTTTCACGCTGAGGAGGCCATTTAACGCTCTTCTGTTGATGCGACTACCTCACAACGAGTACAAAAGGATCGCGTCTTCTACCCTCGTTTCTGTTCAGCTTGTGGACTCTCCTAGTGTTCTGCAAACCAAATTAAAGACATTAACTATTGTGTAGGTATACAACCATAGCTTTCATGATATTAGAACGTTTAGATTCAATTTAGCCACGTGCAAGTGGTAAGTACGTTGCAAGTGCCACTGTTACAGCCCTGCGTGACCCGCATTCGGCCCCACTGGATATTTACTTGCTGGATGGCTCGAGCTGCAATCATGGACCAAGGCAGCGAGGATGTGCACCACTTCAAGCTCTCGCACACTAGGCTGTGCTAGTGAGATCGTTCGATCGAGTTCAGCAGTTCCCGTCGCTTGGCCCTGCGCAGCCGCCCTCTGATAATGCATACTGATATCCAGCGCCAGCCTTGACAACTTGCACGTCTTTGATGCATTGATGGTATTCAAGACTCTTTCTCTCACCTGGATTCCCCTTGCAACGTTGTTTGCATTGCCATCAAGAGGCATAAATATAACGCACTCCACCTGCGCTGTAGCTACGTCGTATCATACTAGCGATCTGTGCAATAGCGACGGCAACTCCACCAAAGGGACTCACGCCCCATGTCACCTTATCTGGAGGGGCAATATTCTAACAACACGCCAGCGAGAGAAGTCAATGCCCCGCACGCAACTTAAGGCAATGGGCGCTCCGAAAATTTGTCGTTATCCGTCGACCGTGCTGAGTGCTGGTTTTCCATCCATGGAACCGAAATGGGTGTGAATGGCTGTATCAGATACTGTCAACATGAGACCTGAAATTTAAAAGTTCAGTGATCTTCTCTAGACTGGCTTCCATGTAAATGGAGTCGCAATCTCCTCCTGCACACGCGCCCGCATGCTTGGCACGTTACAAAAGTATGTGAACATGATGCCGACAATTGTCACCTACGCGTCGAGTAGTACATCTTCCCGAGGCCCTTCAGGCAATTGAAGGACGCTGTTATTGTGGGAAAGCCGTCAGTCGATGTTGCAAACAACAGTCCCACTTGTCCATTGTTATCTTTGCTTCTAGAAGCCCCCGCTGTACTGTATCTCCATCCTATTACTGGTTTTCACTGCACTAGTACTGCACGGGCATTGTCAGTGTGTCTGACAATTAGAGTTCCCGTTAGTTGGCAGCTGCTGGTCTACGTAACTACACACCTAGTCTGAGAAATTGAGAAAAAACTCTTAAAATGAGAATTTTGTGTTGGGCTCTGAACGCGAGCTTTCTCAGAAAAGGAAGACTGAAAGACGGCTGTCGAACTTGGGAAACAATTCGAACAGTAATACTAATAGAAAGCGTGTGATCGACAGTTGATCGACTACTGGACCTACGAGTTTCGTCCCCATCTTCCTCAACTTTCCTATCATTTTCCCTTCTCAAGATTTTATAGAGGGCAATATTCCTGCTACCAAAAATTGGAGCAACAACAATCCAGTTGCTGTGCTATTCGTGATCTTCACATAAAAAGGAATTCGAGCCACGCGACCGTTCATTACGGAACCGAACCCAACACGGCCCAGCGCTAGATGACACTGCATCTGTAACATTAAACAAACAAAAATAAAACACCTGATTGCACGACTTTTGCAGTAATGCACAGAAAATTTGCAGGTGGCTGTGCCCACAGCTACTGACTAAGCAGGGCACATGCATGGGGGAGTGGGCAAGTCAGGGCTACACACACTCCTCACCTGTTCCTTGGGACTTGTTTTGATGCTACTGTACATAACCCATGTAATAATGGGTATTTTGCCAAGAAATGGGCCCAAATTTGTTGCTAGGCCAGTGATGACTTGTGGTGCAGAGTGTGGTCACATGAATTTGCAGGTGGCAATGCTGTGGGAATTTGCTGCCACCAGGTGGGAGGGGTGGGGGAGGGGGTTGAGCATTTGAGCAGGCCCTGTGGGGCATCATGGCCTTGTGGATTGAGTGGGATGACTGGGGAGGGTGCTGATGAACTGTGTTCATGTCCTGCCTATGTTTATCTATTTTATCTGCCCTCCTAGCTAGTGCAAAGTGGTGCAAAGTGGCTGTGTTAAAAATTATGCAGGGGTAGTATAAAAAGTTGTGCAGGAGCAGTACTGCAAATGTCATGCAATCAGGTGTTTTATTTTTGTTTGTTTAATGTTACAGATGCAGTGTCATAGTGCTAAGCTCCTCCAGTATGCTAAGATAAGCTCAAGGCACTCTGGGTTGTGGGTAGTGTCACCACATTGCTAACCATCCAGGGGTTAATGTTATGCCCATGTCAGGGGTCTTCCCTTTTTCGGCTCCTCATGGTCACATGCATCACATGCCTTGTCACATCCCTTATAATCATCACCATCCTAGGGGTTTGTATGCTGCAAGGCTTGTTCAGATCTCCAGCTGTCAAGGTATTTCCAATACCTGTTGAGACCATGCCTGTGCTTTGATCTGGTATTCCACTGCCCTCTCTGATGGATGACATGCTACATTCTCGCCTTCTGACTCATATGTAACTCATTTATGTTGCTCAGATGTTGTACTATAGTTCCAGTGTCTGGCTCCTCACTGTGCATTGATTGCACAGCCAGTATAGCCTTCATCCCCTTGCCTTCCCCTATCATATGACACCATATGACTCCTTCTGACTTATGTATTTGTCTGATTGTTTTGTTGATTACTGTGGATATGTGTTGCAATGCATCGTGACTGGTATGGTACTCATACTTAGAGGTATATAAACCTGTGTACTTTACCTTGTATCCTCAGTTTCTTGATAGCTTGCAACTCAGCTAACTTCCTTCTCTTTTGTCCTTGTTCCCTCCTCTGTGTGATCTCAGAAGAACTCACCAGAAGGAGTGAACCTCTGCCAGACCTCAGAGATAACTGAGCCATAGGGGTTACAACAAGTTTGGCCCATAGTCTCCCCCTCATGCACTTCGTGCCTATTCCATTTGAAGAAGTCACTGTGCTCAGGCATAACAAAATTGAAAAACTCCACACAGCTTTTGGGACTTGTTGACCTCTTCATGAAAGTCTACTCATCCCTGGTTACTGAACTTCAATAAACCAATTCAATCTCACAAAGCTTGTTGGTCTCCCTCAGTGCAAAGACTAACTCGCTTTCATCTGCTTCCTCATGTACCAAGATCGAGAAGCATCCTTCTACCCTCAATCAAGTCCACTGCTCTACAGGCAGCCACTAGGCTTTAATAGATTGCCTCCCTAGAGTCAGCACTCATGTCTCCCTATGCATAAAGTCACTCGCACACACTCCTACAACCCACTACGCTGACAGGTTTCTCTCAAGAAATAAATCCTCCCTCAGCCTTCATTGTCACTATCCATAAAAGTGTCTAACCTGCAGAAATTGAGACCTCCAGTCCATCCTAGACCTAACCCCCTTGGACTTGGATGGGATCCTCCCTTGCTGCCCATCCCTTTAGGATGACTCAGTCCTTCGGTTACTGCAACAAACCCCTGGTTATCTTATCTATCCTGTTTTAGGGATTCGGAAGTTGTGCTCAGTTCAGAAGAAGAAGATGACCAGAAGTCCAATACTTCACTTGGATCAGTCCTCAAAGAAGAACTAAAAGCACACAATCAAGAAGAAATGTCCATGACGATTGGTCACAGAGATTCAGTTCCTGAAATGCCCCTGAGGACCATTTTGGAAGAGGAACTGAGACAGAGGTTGGAAGAACAAAGAGTTGCTATGGCAGAGGAGCTCCATCAGGCCATGCATGCAACTGCAAGTGACCCATTCCCAACAGGGACACCTACTGACTTGGCCTTATGAGAATGGTATCACAGAAATTTCGGGAAAGCTGTACCCCCAGAGCCATCCACTGGTGACAGCAGTAAGGGGAAAGCAAAAGCCGAAGAAGACAATTACTATGGCTTGGGCCACCCACCCAATGGAGGTCAGGAGTTTGTTGTTGGGTGTCCTGGAGAATATGACAGAAGCCACAATGGGCTTCAGACCTGGATTACACAGGTTGAAGGATACCTGAACCTGAACAAGCACACTTACAACATGGAGTCCCTCAAGATTTTGTTCACACTCACATATATGACCAAGGGCACCACTGTGTCATTTGCTGAGAACTATCAAAATGAAAACAAGATGCTTGATGGTACAATCTACTATACCAACACCTTTCAAAGGTTCGTTGAAAGGCTAAAGGCAACTTTCGAGTTGGGTGATCAAACTGCCCTCGCCATCTTGCATCTCTCAGACATACAACAAGGCAAATGAGAACTTGAGGCATACATTGCCAAGTTTATGGGGCTTGCTAACAAGGCTCAACTCAAGGAAGAATCACATGAAGCAGGGATCTTCTTTGGGAAAGGCTTGAACAAGGAATACCATGACTGGATTCTTAATTCTGGACATGCCCCTTCCACGGTCATAGAGTGGATACAGTGCATGGGAGAAGCCCGAACTGCAATTGCTATGAAGCATATCCTAGAAGGGAAGGAATCTTGGTATGAATGCAAGTTTATTCATTACCACAGAGGTTCCTGAGATCCTGATGTGATGGATGTCGACAAATGTAAATGGAACATTAGATGTTCCAGATTGGAAATTAAATGCTTCAACTGTGGAGCTGAAGGTCACATCAAACATGACTGTAAAGTCAAGGTCAAAACTCAACTATCCAACATTTGCATAGTCCTCTCAGAGGATGGGATGAAGACCGCCTATGTCAGAGATCGTGAAGTGAATGCAGAGGAAAGAAAGTTGTTGGGTTTTTAAAGGGGACTGATGAATCTCCTGCATCAGTCAGTCCCATTGCTGTGTTGTCTGCTAAATGTACTTCTATAGACAATGGATTGAATATGTGAATTCGTTCTCCTCTTGGATTGGTCATTTTACCAGACTACAAGGCAGGAATATGGGCCCATATCAACTCAGGCACTGAAGTCTCCCTCATCTCAGAGAAGATGGTCCAGAAACTTAGGATCCTGACTTATTGGGTGGAGAAGAAGTTCAAGATGACCTTGTTCACCGGAAAAGATGAAGAATGGGTAACCCAAAAGGTAACCCTAAAGATGGAGATCAAGGAGTGGGTTAT